CAGTTAACTCTTTTTTATAAGTAATATTACTTGCCTTTCATAAAATAAAATAAATTGAATAACATATTTTTAATGTACTTTTTATTGTTGATTACAAATTAAGTGAGTATCACTTCTTTCACTTCTAATTTAATCATTTTTATTTTTAATAAATTTTAATCAAACTAAGAGTACATTAAAAAAAATCTGATAAAAATACTTTTTCCACTAACCAAGCTATATTTATTTTTCATTTTTTTTAATACTATGTGCCAAGTTGCCGACAATCAATTCCACTTGGGATTAATTGTGTCACGTGCCATTTTGATGACTGATTATCAGTGTGTTTGTTTCTACTTTAAGCAGCTAAAACAGGTTTCAAAAATTTTGATTTACGACCTTCGCAAATTGAGTTGCACGATATTGATCATTTTTTTTTCTTTTTTCTTTTTGAAGAATCGATTATTGAGATCTTTAAACAGAAAATTAACCAGGCTCGATATTGTAATTTTAATTTTCTTTCGTAAAAAATAATAGAGATAGTAAAACTTTCTGGAGAGCGTCGAAAATTATTATACCCACAAACTATTACACAGTAACGAAAAATAATGTATGAAAAGATTTTTTTAATAAAGATATTCTGTAGTAGATTTAATTCTGAATGTATAAATATAAATTAATTAATTTATTGAGATGTCTTGAATTTTTTATGACTCATTTTTTCTAGTATTTTTTAAATACTAGTTAGATTGTAATAACGAATTATACATCGTTATGACGAGATATAAGTTATGATGTAGTAAGATTTAAAAAATTATAAAGGACTTCTTTTTAATGCGAATATAGTATTTTGTATTAACATATCACAATAATAATAATAAAATCTGAATATAAGTCATGTTGATTGAATTACGTTGATATTTGTGCATTCTTTTTTTTAATTACTCATTTTTAATTTTATCTTAACATAATTCAACTGTAGAAAATTAATTTTAGTTCTACTTGACTTCCTTATTATCGTTTTCTTTGTCTAATTGCATGTTTGGATTAAATTTTGTCAATTTTATTTTAATTATACCTTTTTCTGAGAGATTAGTTTATAAATAATGATTGCGTCTTGATAACCTGTATCTAAAACTAGGGGTGAGCAATTTTAAGCAGACCAACCAAACACATGTTAATCGAACAACAAAAAATGCATAACAGGTGGATTAATTAAGATATCAGATAAAATAAATTGAAAAACTCAGTTTTAGACGACTAAAATCGATCAAATATAGATTTAATTTTCTTAAACCATTAATATTTGACCTGATTATTTATATTTATTTTATACTTTAAATACTAGTCTATTAATAAAAATAAATAAATTAACTCAGACTCATATAACTTCTATTTAACCCTAATTTTTTTATATTTAAAGTTTCTTTACTCGTGCGTACTATTATATGGTAATGCTTTTAGTCTCTTGTCATTGCAACTTTGTCTTTGTTTCTTGCCTTAACTACTTCATCTCTTGCTTTTTTTCATTTCATCTCTTGCCTTTACAATTCTATTTTTTTTGTTTTATTTTTTTTTATGATTTCTTGCTTCCATCTTCACATAATGGATTTTCTACTTCTTGCTTTTTATTTGTATATTTTATATAGTTAGTTTCATAGCTTTTTTTTATTTATTTAATGCAAAAGTTCAACTGTTTTCTACTTTTAGAATTTGTGTAGAAAAAAATTTGCAATTGAAATCGCCTATAAATTCACTGCAAAAGGTGCTTCTTTTATATACATCGAAGATGAGAATACAACTAAACATAAAGGAAAGAGACATTGGAATGACATGAAATAAGTGAGCTTCAATTACTGGAAAATACAACGAGCAACAAAAACACGAATTCAAAGAGACACAAAATAGAAGGGCATATAAGATTACTTGGATATCATACAAAGAGAGAAACACTTTCTTTTCTTTTAGGTGATATAGCAAAACTCAATGTAAGAGGAAAATGAAGTCTTTTCAACAAGTAAAGCTCAATTTTATTTGTGTGTTTTTTTTTTTAAGAAAATAAAGTTTTTTAAAATTTAAAATAAGGTAAAACTTTAAAAACAAAATTAATAAACTGATCTTCTAACTTATTTTTTGTTTTAATTTGGTTTTCTAACTTTCTTATTTAATTTTAATTTTTTAACTTTCAAACTTATTTTAAATTATAAATAATACTAGTAATATATTCTTTAATATATTTTTCATAACACTTTTTTTATTATTGTTTTTAGAATTTTTCATAACAAATTTTAAATGAAATTTATTAAATTAAGACTATGACCTATATAATTTTATAAATCTTAATAAAATTTAACACATAACAGAAAGTATATTGTTAACATTTTTCTTTAAATAAATATTTTTTAATAAAGTTAAATTATGCTAACTTTAACACACAAAATTTTATAACTTTTTATAAAATATAAAATTTATTAATTGAACTATTAATTTAAAGATTCTTATCAAATAAATCAATTTTATAGAATTTTATACAAAAAAACTAATAAATATTTGATCACATTACTTTATTATAATAAATAATATGTTTTAAAATATAAATAAATATTAAAATTTAAATAACATAACTTATAAATATTTAAATTATGTATAATTTGATATGTACTATGACAAAAATTATATAAAATATAAAAGATTACATGTATAAAAATATAGGAAGTTACTGCAAACGTTACAAGCTTATGGATATGGGTAGGGTATTATAGTACCCATCCTCATATCCATGTTTTAAAAAAATACTAGTACCTAACTTTATACCTACATGAGTAGTAATTTTAATTTTAATTCTCATACTCATACTCTCTAGGTATCCGCATACCCATATCAGCCCCTAATACCCGCACTCGCCTAAGAAAAAAATACTTATAAAAAAATATGCTTATATAATTTTACATAAGTAGCATAATAATACAAAAATCACAAGTACTAAGTATATTTTAATATATCAACTTTTTAAACTAAAGTGCTTAAAAATCATAAACAAAACTTCATCTATAATCTTCAAAATCATTTAAAACAATCAACTCATAAACTTGAGAATCATGTACTATTACTATCCAAGACCTAAAAAAAATATTAGTTAATTATTCATTGTAAAGTCAAAATAATAGATATAGTTAGCCTATTTTACTTTTTCATCAGAATCAGACTCTCTAAATGAGAGTAAACACTTATCTTTTAGGTTTGTATATTATTTTGATCTAGCAGTACCAAAAGAATATAGAACATACAAGTACATAATAAAAATTAATTTTTATATTAATCATATAATAATTAAATTGTATTAGCTTAATTAAAAAATATAAAATAGTAAATAAAATTTTCTATTAAAAATATGAAAAAAATTATTTTTATAGTTTAGTTTATTGGTAAATATATTTTTATGTTAATTTTATAAAACAAATTTAATTAGATATATTTTTAAATATTATTCTTTTATTTGAGTAACATAAATATTTATATTCAAATTTTTAATTTTTTATTTTACATAGAAAAAATTTTAAAAACAGAAAATTATAAATTGAAAGATAATATTACTCAAAAATTTAAAATAAAAAATTTGTCCATTCAAAATAATAAAATAATGATGTCTTATAAAAAAAACTACAAACTCAATAAAAAATATAAGATATAAAATTATATAAAATAAATAGTAAAATCTTTATCTTGACCAAAATTTTATAAAAGCATCTACAAAATTTTTTTAAAAACTAAAAGTAAGTTAGATTCTTATTTTCTTAAATTTTTAGTTGCTCCATTGTAAGTAAAAAATTATTCAAACAAGATTATACGAAATTAGAACAACAAAAATGATTGAAAATATTAATAATAATTATAATAGAGTTTTAAGCATACTGATTAAAGATTCCTAAAATATAACTTTCGATATAACAAGTTGTGGAGCAACTCATATTATTATATAATTGTCAATGACTATAGAGAGAACTTAATCAAATATATAAATTATTAAGTATTAACCCTAATTCTTTCCTATAAAAGACTTTTGAGTAAGAAATTAGGGTTAAGACCTTTCTCACATAAGTAGTATAATATACATATATATATATATATATATATATATATATACGGGTATGGGCGGGTTGAGTACTTAGGTACTCATATTTGCAACTATCTTCATTAAAATTTACAGGTATTTTCTCATACTTATATTGTACCTGTTTAGCGAATAAATATCTTATTCATTGAGAATAAATTTTGCCATTATCTATCAAGTACTTTACGTATTATCATCTTTACACTTACACAACTGACATATGAATATGATGTAATTGAACCACTTATTTTGATGAATAGTGGTGATATAAATTTATTAAAATTGTAAATGAGTCACTCTAATTATAATTAATTTCTATAAATAACTATGATTGACACCATAGTTTGTGATGGGTTATAGGTACAATAGTTTTGATAATTTAAATAAAGTTTAGAAGTACTTTTGTGTAATTGGCTGGCTTTTGTTAGTTTAGAATAAGAAAGAAAAATAATAAAAGAAAAGAGAGAGAGAAAGTAGCAATGGCGAAAAGAAGACATAAACAACAATGAAACAAAAATATTTATTAGAAAAACTAAAAGATAAAAATAACAACTAAAATAAAATAAATAGGAGACTAATCTACTAATTTTTTCTTTTAAATAAACTAACTAAAGACATGGTAAGTTGATGAAATAAAAAAATATTTTGTGCATTATAAATAATTTGATAAAATAAAATTATATTTTAATTTTTTTTAAGGTCTAAACAAGATGTTTTTAAGATTTATTTATTTATTTTACAATTTTAACATTTTTTGTCTTATTTTTCCGTCAACGTTGGTTGCTTTTCGTTTGGTCGATTAATGGCATCACGAAGCCCCATTTCAAATATACGCTTACATAATAAACTCTTGATATACAAATTATTCCCTGCCAAAAAAATATATAAAATTTATTATTATAATAAAAATATATAACAAAAAACGTAATTTTAAATCCTAAAACCCTAATCAGGTGTGTGGTGAGTGTGATCAACGTCGATGGCGTGCAATGGCTCCGGTTGCGAGTCCGGTTGTTACAAAGACGAAGAAGCAATGTGTAACCAACCAACAAAGTCTGCAGAAACCGATTCGACGAGCCCTAGCAAGATCTGTATCAAGTGCAAACTTAACGACGCCGTTTCCGGCTATGGCGGAATCGACGACGGCCGTTTCTGCGCCGATTGCTTCAAGAGCAACTTGTTCGGAAAGTTTCGTATCGCCGTAACTTCAAACGCCATGATTACTCCCACTGATAAGGTCCTCGTTGCCTTCTCAGGTGGCTCTTGTTCTAGGTCAACACAAATCCAATCCCTTTTTCCCTCTTTTTAATTTCATGAGTAATTTGAAAATTTGGGTTAATTTCAAATTTGATTGTTACATTTTATAGAAGGTAATCTGTGTGCTTTTATTCTTAGGGTAGCCTTGCAATTTATGCATGACATGCAAGCGAGGGCCCAGAAGAACTTTGATGCGAGTAGAGATAGGTCATTGCCCGTTTTTGGTGTTGGAGTTGTGTTTATTGATGAGAGTTCTGTTTTGCCAATTCCTTCTAATGAAATGGAGGAAGCAGTTGTAGTTATTAATAAGGTTGTGTCGAGTTTAGCCCCGCCTAGAAAGGAGTTGCATGTTGTTCCTATTGAGACTGTTTACTCGACTGATTCTAGTGATGGAAAGGAGAGGCTAATCAAGCTAGTGAATGCGGTGAGTGATCCGACCGGAAGGGAGGATATGCTGCTTTGTTTGCGAATGTTGGCCCTGCAAAAGGTTTGTTTTTGGATGTCAGCTTTGTGCTGTTATCTCTGTTAGAAGTTTGTAGACTTGCAGTGATTTGTAAATGAATTTGTTTCATATTCTTTGTCATTGTCCAGGTTGCTTCTGAATTCGGGTATAACAGAATCGTATTAGGATCATGCATCTCAAAGATTGCTTGCCATGTCATTTCAGCTACTGTGAAGGTTTGTTATTGATTTGACTGAGTCAAATTGATTAATAGGAGTGAATTTAGAATTTTCTGTCATGATTCATGAATGAGCTTGCTATATTGAATGTTCTCTACTCTACTAAACTGCTTATTTTTGGGTTTTCTTATGTGCTTTGTCTAGTTTATCTTAAAGCACTATGTTAGAACATTAAGCTGTTGAAGTTATCAGCATACTTTTATGTGCATCTCTCGTTTGTTACATTAACACCCCAGATTAACACTTTGTGAAGTGGGTAAGACTTAAAAATTTTGTTTAAGGGGTAAAATTATCAGGTTGGTGTGTCTACCGAACTTAAAATGTTTTTTTTTTTTTTCTCCTGGAGTATCACTGATTGAACTTCCGCATTTGTTTAGTATAATTCAATGGCCAGATTTCATTTATTTGAATTTTGAAGAATATTAAAATATGCCTAAGTTGTTATCAAGAAGCTTTTTCTTAAGAGTGATCTCAATATGATGGGAGTGAAAATGTATGTTAAGTGTTAACCACATCTATTTGAACTAAGTAGCCATTGAGTTCAAGGTAATGCATTAAATAAGCAAATCGTATAGCTTCCTCTTGTTTTTATTTTTAAGTTATCATGCGGATATTAGGATTTATGTCCACATTGCTTCCAATAAAATGAAATATGTGTTGCTTATACATTGCAGTAATCCTTATGACCTTATCTATGTTTCTCCTCTTTCTTTCATTCTACCTAAGGAATGATCTTGTGTAATAAATTCTCATGTCCTTGTTTTAACAGGGCCAAGGATATTCATTACCTGCTGATATACAGTATGTTGATGCTAGATGGGACATTCCTGTTGTGCTTCCTCTGCGTGATTGTTTTGCCCAAGAGATCAACATGCTTTGCCACCTTGACGGGTTTGTAGTCCTCCGGATATGTCATAAACATTAAAAAAAAGGGGAGGGGGGGGTTATGTTTTGCTCTGTGTTTTGTAAAATTTCACATTATTTTACATATATTGTCTTCAATGTTTGTCGGACTGAATTTTATGAATCTTACCGAATGGATGTGTCTCATCTCTATGGCAGGGCAGTCTAAAGACTTTAGCGTTATCTACGGGTCCATGCTCTAGCATTAATGGCTTAGTCTCATCTTTTGTGGCTCTTTTACAGGTATAGTGTCTTTTGCCTTACCCATTTGATATATAGTGAAGTTTTTTAATGATTGGGTTTAAATTTTTAAGCAAAGCCGGTTGTGACCAGTGAGTGTTTTAATGAGCCATTGCATCTTTTTTTTCTTCCGCTCAGCTTTTGTATCAAGTTGTATCACTTGATATGTCCCATATATTATGTGTATGTGTCTTTATAAGTACAACCTGAGGACAAATCCCATTGTACTGGTGTTTCTGAATTTGCAATTTACTTATAGAGCACATGATTCTCATACAGGGTCAGTCAGGCTATGATTTTACACATTTTGTGGCTTGATGCCTGCCTTTTTTATGGAATGGGATTAGCCAGACTACATTCTCAAAATAGAATTATAAGTTTTTACAATTATGGGTTGATATAGAACATGCTTATGTTTCAATATTTACTTTTCCTTTTTAATAGAGACCATAATTTAATTAGAAAGGCACTAATTGAATACCAGTTTTGCAGGAAGAAAACCCATCTCGAGAGAGCACAATCGTAAGAACGGCCAGTAAACTGACTCCCTTCCAATTCAACCGGATTCCAGAGATAATTGATGGTAATGTTCCCTTGGCAACTCGAAGACGCCAGAAGAGATATAATATCAAATCCGATGAATCTGTTTCCTCCGAATCTTTCTGTTCTCTCTGCAACAGCCCACTTGACAAGAGTGAGATTGTTGAATGGAGCAATCTTGATAACTGCAGAAGTAGTGACATTTTTTACACTGCCTGCTGTTCAAGTTGTCAGTTTCAGATACTTCCAAAGGATTCCATGTTAGTGGAACAATTTTATGTGGATTTACCTCAATCGGTGGTTGCCCGAGTGAAGCAAGCCAACAATGGTAACTTGAGTCGGCTAAGGTAAGTATTTGTTTTCTGTCAAGATCAATTTATTGTATTTCACATTTGGTAATAATCAGACTAAGCGGCCTTGATCACTGGTCTTTTTGAAAATACTAACTCTAGTATCACGTCAAAGTAATATATATTTTTTTATATGAATATGTTATTGTTAAATGAAAGTACGGAAAAAGAAATTATATAAATATGAGAATTTTGGATAATTTGTTTTTGTGGCTTTGTTGGTATGTCAAATCAAATGGGTCATTTTGGTAGCCACAAGTTCATGGCTGATAGTGAAGCTTTGAGGAAATGAAATTCGTGTATCAAATTGTTTGAAATTAAATTTTCATCTATAATTATGTAAATAACATTCCTTGGTCTAGGTTATGCAATCCAGTTTGAGTTTTTTCCTGGCAAGGGATTCATTCACTTGTTCAGGCATTTGGTTATGCTACTACACGTTGCTTAATGTTTTGTTGCTTTGCATTAGTGGAAGCATGATTAATTGCTTGGATTATGTTCAATTTTTATTGTGACTATGCTTGAAAGATACGATTTATTTTATGGTAGGAACTTTTATGTTTTGACCTTTCTTCCTGACATCAAAGGTTATGTTGCAATATTCTTTGTTTTCAGGGAACAAATACAAGATTGCCTGCTTTCAGATGGTGAAGATGAAACATAGGATTATTGTCTACACCGAGGCTCTCAGTTGAAGGGATAAATACTTTGTGCTAATTTAATTTACAATTTGAGTACACTGTGAGAGGTTACTGTTTGGCTCTGGCTATACAAAGAGTTATGGAGCACTGAGATTTACTTGCCTCCTTCAGATCATGGTTGTTGATTCTTTTAAGATTATATTTGAGAGCATATTTAAGTAGGCATAAATGAAATAACCGTTTTTTTTTCCTTTTTGTATCATTGGCAATTTGATGAGAGTGATAAGGTTGATTCCGTGTACTCGTTGGGGGGCATCATGATGTACTTCATCTTAAGAATCTGTTCTTATGGTTATTTATTACCTAAGCATTTATTTGCATCTATTGTATTTTATGGGAAGTGTTTGACCACGACAACAATATAGAAATTATTTTACAATTTTGTGACTAGTGTGAAAATGCTTTTTTCCCTCTAGATGTTTAAGGTCTGCAGATGGAGCATATATTCTCGATTATCAATTTACCGGCCAAGTCTTTTGAGAAGCCTCTGTCAATAGCTAATTTTAATAAAATAAAATTAAAAAAAATTCTATCAAGTAGTACTTTTAGAAGACAAAAATATAATTAAGCTTTTTAGGAACGTCAGATTTTGGGATGCAAAATATTTTTCTCAATTAAAAGAAGTAGTAATGATTTAGAAGCTTGTTGCAATGATTAATTGATTAAGGAATCTATATTACTGATCAAAAAGTGATTAACATATTGATTACCAAGCATCTATTTGCATAGCTATTGAAACATTGTTTTACAATGCGGTCAAAACTTGGTTCTAATTTGTAAGACAGCTAAGATGGGAGAGTGGGAAAGAAGTAGGTAAAAAGTGTTGTCTGCATTCTCCTAAGATGGAATAGAAGAAGCTGTGGAAGTTTGTACGCCATTTTGACCTTCTCATCTGGGATTTTTGGATTAAAAAGACAGGAACATACATGTTTTTGCTTCAATTTTTTTAGTAATATTAATGGTTATGTGGATTAAATTCTTCTGCTACCCGAAAATTACTTCTTTGACTAACTTAAAGAGTTCAACTTATATTGATGATAATGAGAAAATTTATGTAAGATATTTGAGTGTCTATTTTTATTTTAAAAGCACCCGTATCTCAATTTATACCCGTATGAATCGTCATTTAAATTCTTACTTCAACTTATTGAATATTTTATATACTTGTATCTAAATTTATTATTTATACTTTAGTCAATTTAAATATAATTTTATTTATGCATTTGTTCGAAAAATTAATAAAATGTGAATATTATTATAATATTGATATTAATGTAGAGTATTTATTAACAATAATATATTGACATGCGTGTTAAGAGGACATCAGCTCAAAATGATTGCAGAAACTACATTCAGACAGAAAAACATTTGACTGGGGAGGATGGAGATGGTGAGGACGCAAGAACAAGATAGAAACTTGTTCTATTTGATTGACTTGGATTATTTCTTCTGTGCGAGGAATACTTTTTGGGCTGATGCTGAGTTGAGCTGCGTATGAATCATTTGGTGATGTGGTGGTGACTCTGGTTACTACCTGTCTTTCTAATGAATACAAAGTGTCACTTGTAACTTTTGTTGGAGTAAACCATCACGAGCAATCTGTACAGTTTGGTTGTGGATTGTTATCTAGTGAAGACTCAGAGTCGTTAGCTTGGGTGTTTCAATCATTGTTACATTGGATGTCTAGTGGAAGAAGATTGTGGATGATTTTGACCTCAAGGACAATAAATGGTTGCAGGATTTGTTCATTGAGAGACACCACCTGGTTTCTTCCTTTGTAAGAGGTGAATTTTGGGCTGGAATGTCTATTAATCTGCATAGCTCGCATGCATGCATGCATTTTTTGACGGATATGTAAACCGTCAAACAACTTTGAAGCAATTTGTTGATCAGTGTGTTAATGCTTTGCAATACAAGGCTGAGAAGGAGTACATAGCTGACATATACATTCATCATGCAACAGTATTGCTGTTGCTGCTGCTGAATTTGAGGATACAAATTCTTTTGATACCCTATGTAACTTAAAAGGAGAAACTCATCTCAGGTGGACGTAGAGGAAACTCAGTAGTTGAGACTCATCAGATTTTCATTCAATAGCTCCATTTTGCCAATTAATTGTGTGAATACACGTGACATAGTCATAAATTATATTTATATACTTTGCATAAGCTCTTTCAAATGCCTCTTGAATCTGGTTCCGTTCATCTACTCCTTGCTTGTCTGCAGCAATGTACCATATATGTATAATATTAATTTCCATTTGTTTTCTTAAAAATAATATTCTCAATATATATGTATTTTTTAAATTGCCTCGGAATCTTATATAATTGACTCTATCGAATGGTACAATTATTAATGTAAATTACAATAGTAAAAGTTTCACATGACAATTATCAAAACCCTGGTGTTTAGCTTATTGATTTAATTCACGTGTTAAGTGTAAATGGTCTTACAAATTTTTTTTAATAAATATATTTTTTATTAAAATTATAATATTTAACTTATCAAATGCATTAGTATTTATAATATCTTATGATATGATTTTCTTCAAGTATCTTTTGAAAAAAAAATTAAATAGTACGAGGAGTAAAAGAAATATATATTTTTAGTATGTTTTTAATAATAATTTTTTATTTTTTTATGAAAAATATAAGTAAAATTATTAAATTAAAAATAAATTTCACTTAAATTTTATAATTTTAATGAATTAAACTTAATTGCATTTTTGTCTCTCTAGTTTAGCTTAGTATGATTTTGGTCATATTTTTTGAATTAGTTTAGTTTTTCTGTTTTAAACTTGTGTAAATTTAGTCTTTCATCCATTAAATTCTTAAATTTTAATTTTTTATTAAAATTTGTGTAAAATCATTTGATTTATTGTTTAAAATTAACTGCCAGAATATCAAATTGTGCTCAAAATAAAATAAAATAAATTTTTTTTCTTATTCAAACTTGTAATTAAAAGATAATTTCTAATTAATCATAAAAATTTGCACTCAAAAAATTGTCCTAGTATCGCTAACATTTGTCTCATTAGTAAAGTGGGTTATAGTTTTTTGAACTTGAATCGCCGTTGATGACCGTGCTTTGCTTTTTGCATGGATCCTAAACCGGAGGAAGGCGCCGCCAATCACCTCCCAACCGCAACTTCGCCGGAGACTCAACGGCGGTCGGTGTGCTCCAAGTGCTGGCGTCCAAATCGGGTGTGTCTCTGCCACGCGCTTCCGCTGAACCCCATCCCAACCACAACACGAGTCCTCATCGTCCAACACCCCCACGAAGCACACCACAAACTCTCCACCACTCCCATCCTCACCAAATCCCTCCTCCACGCCTCCGCTGTCACCGCCCGCCGTCTCCATCCCTCCCTCTCCCCTCTCCTCCACCACCCTCCCCCCACTCTCTACCTCTTCCCTTCCTCCCCCTCCTACCCAGCTCTCAACATCTCCGACGTTCGGCCGTCGGAGTTGACCGGCGATGGCGGGAGAGGGCTTCTCCTCATCGCCTTCGATGCCACGTGGAAGCACGCGAGGGAGATGGTGAATGCCAGCGAAGAGTTCCTCGCCACGTTCGCTACTAGGGTTTGTCTGGGAGTGGATGAGAGTGTGAGTGGCGGAAGCATTTACGATTCTGAGTTGATTTTGAGAAAGGAGCCTTTTGCTGGGTGCGTTAGTACTATGGAAGCTGTGGCTAGAGCCTTGGGTGTTCTTGAGCCCAATGGGATTGAGATTGAAGAGAGATTGATTGGAATTTTGAGGGAAGTGGTGAGGTTACAGGCTAGTTTTTTGAAGCCTGTGAAGCCAAGACCCAAATTATTAAAGAAGAACGTTAAGGAAAAGGAAAACAGTGAGAATTCTGATCAAGGTTAGTGGTTTCTTTTCTATGATGTTTGGTAAAGATTTGATGTTAGGTTAGCATAGAGAGATTTGACACTGGGATGAATATTCATTAATCTAGTTGATACTTGTATTTTATGCATCGTTATGAAGGCTTCTAAAAACTGTCGGTTTCTTATTTTCCTGGATTTCAAAGGAAATCTACATATTGAACTCGGACAAGACTCTGTATTATTTCGAAGTCACACTATCGTATTGCTCCATAAAATCTGGAAAGTGATGGAATATTAAGAGGAAAAAAAGAGAGGGAAATTTATTGATTTTATCTTGATTCCCAAGTGCATGTTTGGTAATTTGATTTTAATTTTCTTATGCTGATAGAAGCCTATAATTTTACACGACATAGTAGTTTTGAAGTTCTAGATTATTCATAGCGACCAAAGTCATCAATTTCTTGATGAGGAACAATTTTTTATTCAAGAAACAGTTTTCAAAACTATGGTGTCTGATGAAAATCATAACAGTCAGAAGCTTACAACGTTATGAAAAGCTATAATTTAATCTGTTTGTCACGACAGAATTCCTACGCTAAAAAATTATGTTGAAGTGATTTCACGTTTTAACATAAAAATATGGCGGTCCATGTTTTGCTAATTAATGTTGAAACAGAGTAATGTTCATCCTCTTACCCGGAAGAGAGAATATTAAAAATCATGAACAGTTCCACTTCCATTAGCAGCTAGTACTGAGGATTATACTAAGTGCATTTACATTTATGGAAAAAGAAGCCAAACATCTTACTCTAAGAGAGTGCAGAGGAATTTGGATTATCTGGCTATGCATACTAATGTTTTGTTCATCTCTTTTAAAAGTGATACAAAATATAACATTAACATTAAATAAGATTAGTTTTCCAGAAAATATATGATTCAGGGTTGATGGTGAAACCCAATAATCTCACTCGTTTCTCAGTTTCTACATGGTGCTGAGATTTCACATGGAAGAATTAAGATGGCGAGAATATGAGTTTCTAGAACTAAGTTGATTTGACTAATAGTGTTCCAACCATTTGTTGTCCCTGATGTGGTTTCCTTCTTCAACACTTTATAAATGCATGATTTCATTACAGTTCAAGAATATGAAAGGAAAAGAACAAATTTTGCAGATCAAAATTAATGTGTGTGTGAAGATTAGGACAAGACATGAGGCGAGACAGCAGATAATTTTTTAAATGCACCACTTCCACTGGTATATAGTCTTCAACTTTCTACTCATTCTAATTGTGCATCCCTTCTATGTATAAAATATATTTCAATCATTCCAAAGTCTATTGGGGAGCCGGGCAACCTTATTTTTCCCTTTTTTTTTTCTCTTCACATCAATCTTGACATATAGACATTAAATCTTATTTAAATGGTAGAAATTAAAAGATAAAAGTACAGAAGCATTTTTAAGTGATCATGTAAATTATTAACTTTTAAACTTGACCATTTACATATGGCTGTATAGTAAAATATACAGTTTTTACAATTTTAGAATGATAACTGATCTTACCAATTATTTATCCAAAATTAAGATGAGACAAACATGTATTATGTAAAAACAAAATCAACTTAGTCCTGGATGTCCAGATTCTCACCATGACTAATCTTTCACAAAAAATACCAGATATATGGTTTATCATCAAGAATTAAAACAAAATAATATCTACTTCTTGCAGGAGCAGAGCAACGGGTCTCTTAGGTACCATACGGGATACACTTCTGGTGGGATGATGATCCATGAAACCCATATATAATATATGTACCCTCTGTAACAAACTGGGGTCGTAAAAGGGAACTTACTAATAGATTAATATAATTCGATACCATAGTTTATCAAAGATAAGTCACTGCTACTTGCCATCTGCAATATCATAGAAGCGATGCCACTGATGCTGCTTAACCATCACCACCGGATGATTGATATTTAAAGCTCGGTTTCCATGATGGCTCCAAAATAGCACAGCAAACTACAGAAGAACTAAAATATACGCATTGGGGTCACTAGAGGATGACTTGAGCTTTTAGTTCTAGTGACGTGACAATACTTGGCATTAGCTGCCAAACTATGTTAATGGTGCACAAATTGCCAGAGCCACCCATTCCAGAACACTTGACCATCTTTATACTGAACAGTTGGATCATTACTGATATGATAAGGGGTTGAGTTGGATCATTTGGATTTATTTCTAAGGTGTGTCTATAGCTTAGGTTCAGGTAAGTTCTTATGTGTGTGGAATGACAGCTCTCTATCACGGGTTTTTAAATTGGTTTCTGAGCACCCAGTATCACATTGCGTAATCCTAAGAGTGAAGGTAGGTATAATCTAAATCAACCTTTGAAGGAAAAGAATCAAGGATACTTACTGAAAAAAAGTCCCAGTGTCACCATTTTTTTAAGCTTTATAACGATTCATAGCTCCAAGAGTTAGCAAAGTCAGTCTCAAAAGTAATATTCTTGTTTGATACTATTTTCTGAAGTACAGACAAGTATTGAGTGCGTTGTGACATGCATAGCTTTTGTAATTAGTATACGATAGATACATAAGTTTTAAAAATAATATTTCACTATCTATGATTAAGGATATTATTATAAATGGTGTAATATCAAGTAATTAAAGGAAAGCTGTTCACAAAATAACAATTTTTAAAGGAATTTTCCACGGTATGTCCCTCCGCTGTTTTTAGTAAGATATATATTTCATCTGTTCACACTTTGTTTAGTAAATAATTTCAGATTAAATGAATTTGGATTCTCTTTAAGTTCTTAATTGACATGATATGGTCATATTAAATAGAGTAATACACAAATTTTTTAAATTAATGACTCAACTGAATTAGGATTCTCTCATTTTTTAGCGTGAACTACAGTATTATTTTTGCACTTTTATTTAAATGAAAATATTTTGCTTTAGCGAAAGTGAAAAATATATTAACTGCAAGCATAACTACCGAAAAAAATCTTAGTCTCAACTCGTCATGATTGAATATGAGATTCATGAATTAAATTTGATATATATATATATATATATATCTTTCTAACATGGACATGTTATTCAATAACATGAGACAATTAAAATCCATTTAAAATTACTTATTTAACCTTTTGTATAGTTGTTTTTATGTTAATTTTTTTAATTAAAGTCATTAATAAGAGTTTTGAATGATTTACTTGTTAATTAATGTGCTAAGTATCTAAGTTTATCTATCTAAATTCAAATGAATAAGGTTATTTAATTTAGTGTTTAGGAATTAATAAATAAATTTTATTCAAAATTACATTAAAAGTGTATTAAAAATCACATAGATATATTAAATATATTTGTTAATGAACAAATTATTTTTATTTCTTAATTAGTATTAAGGTATATGTTAGTATTCACCATAAAATAAACACTTAAGTGTTTCCAAAGCAAGGACAGGTTCCATTTCTCATTCGATGTATATATTTTTGTTATGTAGGTTTCTATATGTCTAACTTTATTTATCTTTTTAATGTCATAGTTAACATTGAACACAGTTAAAAAACAAATTTTTTTTTCCATAGATTAGTGTTGTGTGCAACATAGCACCTGGTAAGTGTGTATTTAGTCTCGCTTATTTTAAATAAATAATCACTTTTTTAGTTTTTAAAGAAAGATTTAAAAAATGATTATTTTTAAAAATTAATCCCATTTTTTCTAAATTAATTTCATCCAAACGTAACGTGAACTAAAGATAAACAGCATAAAGTAAAAAATAATCTTAATAAGTCACGCAATTAAAAGAGACAATTATATAACTGTACATATGTACAAGAACAGAAAGAGATACAAGTATTTAACTTTAACTTCTATTTTTTTGTTTACATTTACCTTATAATTCTCTAACTTTTATTTTTTTTTCTACATTCATTTCATGTTTCTTGTCACATTTTTCACTTTTTTCTTTCCTTCTTAAATCAGCCACCCAGTAGACCACTAATGAAAATGGATTCGGTGCAGTCACTAAATTACAATCACATAAATTAGAACTGATAGATGAAGATCAAATGGCTCATTACAAGCGTGTCTTTTGGTCCAATTTGATGAGAATAAAACATGAGCCATCTCTAGCCTTGATCTAACGGTTCCTTTTTCACTATGTGAATGTGTGATTTGGTGATTGCAGTAAATTAGAATCCCCCTCCAAAGGTGTATGTATTACTTGATGTAACGTAATTTCACGTTGTACCTTTTTCCGAGGACAAAATTGAGATGCAATACTGTAAGTATTATTTTTAATCAAATTAACAATTTGTAGTGGCAACTGTTGTTTGGAGTTAACAAAACGAAAGTAGCAGTTTCCGAGGTAAAATGCTTATTTTAATTGGAAAACATTACCGATAATATTGCATCATAATTTTGTCCTATTGCCAATGGTTGTACCTGCCTTATTACATAATAGAGTTAATTTTGATATAATAAAAGAAAAAATTATTTAAAATCGAGTTAGTTTTGTATATGATGGTAATACAAAGAACACCAAAAATTGTCTTAAAAAAATAATAAAAAAATTTACGACAATCAATTCTTATTCTACTAGCTGATCGGCTACATAAATTATACATCGCCATTGTTTCAGTCTTCACACTGAAGATAAATTTTCAACAACTTGATCTGAAGCAAACCAACCCAATTGAAGCTCCTCATTATTTGAAGGATGCACATGACCAATGTAATGCCAAAGAAAATTCTTGATGGCCAGAATCAGGAACACACAAAAATCTGCAGTGATGGCATAGATTCCCTCACTCTCCAAGGTCAAGTGTAATGTTAATGTCAAAGTGGCTTCAAGAAAAGAGTAGTGATGGCCAGGTTTCAATAAAATGATTATGCAAAGGGAATCAATAGCTAGAAAAACACAGGTTATCAATGCTGCAACTTCAGAAGGCCCCTCTTGATGTTTATGTGCAATACCTGAAATCAGAAGGGACATGACCCTCATAACTAGAAATTCTCCTAGAGACTTCAGGAGGAAATGATTCTTGTACATCTCATACGCTGATGCAAAGAAGCTGAAAAACATAAGGAAAATGAGAAAGATAAAGTGCCCAACAGCCACAAAGAAAACCATAAGGGCATAATGATGGCCACCACTACTAACATATGTGTTGTAAAGCTCGGTTTCCATGAAGAAGCCACAGGCTAACATGAAACTTGTTAGACTCACAATAAAACATATTATACGCATTGGGGTCACTAGAGGATAAACATTTTGTGCTAACCATATTTGGGGAGGGGTTGGAGAAGCAATAAGATG